AGTGGAAGCTACTTTACATAGAATGGTCAGGGAGGTGCCCGTGGCAGTGAGAAGCCAGTCATAAGAATCTGTCTATGGGGAGAGAGGGAAGAGCATGTGTGAAGGCCTGGCAGGTTCCAGTGGTAAGAGATGGATTTGGACGGCCACTTTTATGTTTCTTCTGTTTTTGTTTAATTCTGCAATTATAAAACATATGCTTTTATAAAACACGCATGTCTTGTCTTTTTTTTTGCTAATTACTCTCTTCTTGTGGTTTTAAATATCATCTTATGCTGATGACTATGTCTCCAGCCTGAACATCTTTCCTGGAGTCTAAACTCATATCCAGTTGCCTACTCAACTTTACCACTTGCATGTCCAATAAATACTTCAACTGAAAATAACTGACCTGGAACTAATGATCTTTCCTGCTCTACCTACAACTTTCCCCATTTCATTGAATTTTTCCATTTGATCAGGCAAAAAATACTGGAGCCATACTTACGTACTTCTCTCAAAATCCACATTGACACTATCAACAAATTCTCTTGGCTCTGCTTCAAAAATATATATAGAATTCAATAACTTTGAACCACTTCCATTGTGACTGCCCTGGTCCAAAACACCATTTCTTCTTGCTTGATTGAGAAAGCCGCCTTAACCAGTCATTCTCTTTGCTTCCTCTCTCATCTGCTTCTGCTTACAGGTTATTGTCATTGTAGCAGCCAGAGTAAGGTTAGAATTTAAGTCAAATTATATTATGCGTCTGCTCAGAACCCTCCAGTGAATGAATCTCTCATTTTATTACACACAAACTTAAGTCCTGCAGGGTCTGCTATTATTGATAAGTCTCTTCCCTGCCTTCTAAGCTTTACCCATATTGGCCTTACTGCAGTTTCTCTAGCACACATCACCTTATAGCATTTCCTCTTGCTGTTTCCTCAGCCTAGAGTGCTCTCCTCTTAGTAATCCATCTGCCTGTTTCCTCACCACCTTCAATCTTTACCCAGATCTCCCCTTGTCGGTGAGAGACTATCTATCTCCTTTAAATACCACACTCTTTTCATTTCCCCCGTTGTTCCAGGTCCCATATCCTTACTCTGCTGTGTTTTCTCCAGACCATAACCCTTAACATTCTACAACTAACATGTCATACCCTCTTTGTCTCTGTTTCTGTCTCTCTCTGAATATACACATACACAGAAATATGCACACGCATTTTTTTTAAAGGCTTGTTCCTTGTCCCTTTCTCCTCACTTCACAAGGGTGGGGACTTTGTCTTTATTGTTTATTGATATATTCCAGTTGCTAACAGAACACAGTAGACAGATATTTCTAGAAAGACTGACGTTTGGCAAGTATTGGAGATACATGTGGTTACGTTGAAAATGAATAAAACTTGTTTTTTGCCCTGGTGTTTTGGTTAAAGGTCTCTTTTCTGCATATGTGACTACTGATATGGTAAGAAGTTCTCAAAAGATCTGTGCATCAGTTTTGTGGGGTTAGCTACTGAGCTGCATTGATGTTCCTTAAATCTTTTGAATTAAACTTGCATTTAACTTAAGTATTCAGAGATGTGGCTTATTTGTTTTAATATTAATACATATAATAGAGCACTTAAACAGCTTAATACAGTAATTACAATCATAAGTGCTGTAAAAGTTGTCTTAAAGTTTCATATTAGCATGCTTAATCATAAAATAAGGATTGGCCCTTTAGAAAGCTGATGGCAATGACCAGGAAGCATCTCAAATGCTTTTCTCGCTTCCTTTTTTTTTTTTTTTTTTTTTTTACTTGACAGCTAAGACAGTTTTTGTAGTAAAGTAGAAAGGAGAACAGAAAGAGGCTTTATAACACTTGTGTGTCAATTGTGTGCTAGAGATACATTCTTGAGTATAGTTTCCATCTTAATGGAGCTCATATTCTGTTGGGGGTCCCATTCTGGTGGGAGAACCTATAAAGCATTATAATATAGTTGATGATAAGGGAGTAAGAGGAATTAAAGGTGATTTTGTGTTTTTTGTTGGTATGATCCATGGGAAGGCAATTCCAGAGATAAGAATATATGAAGGAGAGGCTGAGTTTGTTCTGAGTTGTTGGTTGGGAGGATAGTAGCAGGAGAATGAAAAGGAATGGATTAGGTTTTGGAATTTTGAGTTTTGGGCCTAAAGGAATTAAAGTGGACATGTTGAGTAGGCAATTGGAAATAATGCGAGTGAAGTTAAAATGGTGGCTGGAGAGATGGATTTGATAATCACTGACTAATTTGTAGAATTAAGTTGAGGCTCTAGAGCTCAATTAGTTCTCTCAGGTGAAAAGATAACCAAAGATTGGATGGTGGCAAAAACCTCCAGTGTTTAAGGCTTTCATGAACGAAGGCTTTCCTGAGCAATTGTCACAGAATTAAGAAACCAAGGAGATAGTTACAGCCTGATAAAGCCAAAAGAGATTATTCTCAAGGAGGTTGTAGGTAGAAAAACTATGGTTTGTGGCACAAGTAGATCATATTTTTGGATCAAATAAGATGAGGACTGAGAAAAGGCTAGCTAATTCAGTTTGGCAATTTGGAAAAGCATTGGTAATTGTGAGTCAGACACCCCAAGTATTTGGAAACAGGTTTATCCAGAATTCAAATAGAAGTCAGCAAATACTGAATAAGATAAGCTATCTGTAAATATAACTGACTCTAATAAATGGTCCGTAATGAAATTAAGGAGACTTGGGGAACACCACAGTGGCACTTGGATATATTATTCTCTGCATTCAAAGATACTTTGATTACCCGAAGAAAGAATGTGGATTTTTGAAAGTGAAGAACCAGAGAATAAGCATTTTCTGTATTTAACCAGCATTTGGTCAGAATGAGTGGTATTGGTATTACTAGAGCAATACCTATTCTCTTGAGATGAGAAAGGGTTTTCTGGCTCTTATATCACTTAAAAGGCTGTTACATGATTCTTGAGGTTCTTTAGCAATAAAATCTGTGATTTCTAATTATATTTTTTTCTATACCATATGGAAAAATTGGGGGTGTTAAAAATAGAAATGAAGAAAAGACACAGAGGAATCTTAAATACATATTACTACGTGAAAGAAGCCAGACTGAAAAGGCCACACACTGTATGATTCTAGCTATTACATGGCATTCCGGAAAAGACAAAACCATGGAGATGGTAAAAAGTCTGTTGGTTGCTAGGGGTAAGGGATGAGGCAGCGATAATAGGTGGAGTGTAGGGGATTTTTAGGACAGTGAATGTATTTTATATACTCTAATGATGGGTACATTATACATTTGTCAAAACCCATAGAATGAACACTAATATAAGGACCTTGAATAATGATGATATGTCAGTGTAGGTTCATTGATTGTAACAAAACAATTTTTACTACTTTGGTGCAGGATGTTGATAGTAGAAGAGGTGCTGTGCTCATGTTGGGCAGGGCAGATATGGGAACTTGCTGCTGTACTTTTTGCTGGGCTTTGGCTGTGAACTTAAACTGCTCTTAAAAATAAAATCTATTTTAAAAAGAACCAAAGATTTATATCTCAGTTATTCACCTATTGTGTACTTTCACACTTTAAAAAATATATTTCCTTTCTATCCTAGACCTGAAAAGCTATTCAAAGATATTCAAAGGAGTTATAAATCTACTAAATGAGTTAGACTTTGTGTATTTTGTAATAATTTTTTTAAAAATCATGGCTAAAAGGAAGAGAAGAAAACTAAGGTCAAATGTTTTGAAATTCCAGTTTATTTTTGGTTAACTAAAATTTTAAATCATTCAAAAATCTTTGAACAAATAAAGTGTTTCCTAAAAGACAACCATCTGTATATAGGACATTTCTTTGATTTGTTATTGGGCATTTTGACAATCTTTATAACATTTGACACAAGGGCCAAACATTCAGCAAAATTGTCTTATCTCTCCCACAAGACAGCAAGTGACAACATTGTCCTTCTCTCATGAGTTTATAATCCAGAAGTCATTACCCAGTTTAAACTAAGTGTCACTTCTCCAGTCCTTCGGTCTAAGTAAGTCTCTTCTGTTACTCATCTTAATAACACTATTTTCTTGTTTCAGATGGAGATTATTGTAACTATTTCAGATTACAGTTCATATAGATGATTTGGGCAATCTACTTAATTTCTCTACCTGTATTAGACGGAGAAAGGAAACATAAGTTTTCCATACACTTGTTTCTTCAAGTCCCCAGTGCAGTGCATGGTTAACATTCAGTAAAGACTTTTTGAGTGAATGAATTCATTCATTCATTCATTCATTCATTCATTCTTTGAATGATCACTGCCTCTACTGTTTTCTAGAAGTTCAGAATGCTATCAAGTAAGCAGACCTAGTGTGAATATAAGTGCCTGAAAACAAGTAGGAAGATGGTGTTGATGTTCAATATACAATTCTCATAAGAGGGCAAGTAGGGCAAATATAGAAAGTAGGCCTGTATTCTAGGAATGTGGAAATTATTCATAACCTTAATGAGGTGAAATTTAGTGGTAGAGTGAAGGAATGCAATTCCAATTAAAGTTGATCCTGAGATGTAATAGTCAGAAGATACAGCAAGCAGCTTTTCCCAGAAGACTAGATCCAAACACTGCTAGCTTATTTATGTGTGTGTATTTTTAGGAAAAAAAGATAAACTACAAAGGGAGGAAATTGTTTTAAATATTTTTCACTACACAAAAAGGAAATGTATGTGGTAAGTACTGTAGTAGAGGCTACTGGGAGGGCCTCAGTTACCTTCTAGGAGTTACTGCCACTTTTATCTTTCAGATTGAAATGTTGAATGAATAAAAAAGGACAAGAAATGGGTGTTCTGGCTTGGTAAATACCTTCCATCTAAATTATCAGTCTTAATTTCTCAAGAAATTAGAGCACTGAGAAATCATGGTAGATTGTTCATAGCACTGGAAACCCTGGCTTTGTGTTTTCCATGTGCTTTTGTGAAGTGTTTCTTAATTTCTGTGAGTTTTGTATCTTATTTATTTATTTTTTTTAACTTTCAGGTGTTGGTAAATCATGCTTATTGCTACAGTTTACAGACAAGAGGTTTCAGCCAGTGCATGACCTTACTATTGGTAAGTTTTATAAAAGAGATGAGAAGCAATCTAAAGTTTTGGGTAGTCGAAATGGAATGTGCCTAGCCCTGGCTGGTGTGGCTTAGTGGATTGAGCACCAGCCTGCAAACCAAATGAAATGTACTTAGGGGGGTTCATCGTATTAGTAACGTCAAAAAAATCAGTGAAAGCTCTTTGTTTCTGTGCAAAGGTCAGTCTCCATCACTTTAAAAAAAATATAGTAAAAGTATTGTAAACTTTGTAAAAGTGATTGGAATGCAGCAAGACATTAATATTTTTTATTATATTTAATAATGAAACAAATGAGAGTCAATATAGCATAGGGATAAGAGCAGAGTTCAGATTAAGACTCTGCCATTAACTAGCTGGGCAAGCCACTTTACCACTCCATCAGTTTCTTTATTTGTAAAATGAGAATAATAGTAGTGTCAATCTCACAAAGTTATTTTGAGCAGTAAATGAGTTAACAAATATGAAGCATTGGAACAGTGCCTGGCAACATGTTAAGTGCCTTAGGCTTACCTATAATTACTTAATGGAGAAAAAATGACTATCAAGCATTTTTTAGTTTCCTCAGTTGTGAAGAATAAATGAGACAGTTACTGGTAAGGAGTTGTCAACAAATACTAGCTGTTATTATTATTGATATTACTCATTGATATGCAAAAGTATAAAATTAAAATGTAAAAAACTAAAAACTTTAAATAAGCACACTGTTTCCGGGTCTTTATTTGTTTAAAAAAATTCTATGTATACCCTGAAAGCTAAAGAATCTAGCCAGAACCCTGGCTGGTGGCTTCTTAGGTTGGAGTGTTGTCCCATACACCAAAAGGTTGCATGTTCAATCCCAGGTCAGGGCTCGTTCGTAGATTGTGGGTACCATCCCCATTCTTGGCCATGGTGAGTGTGGGAGGCAACTGCTTGTTGGTTCTCACATTAGTGTTTCTCTATCATTTTCTCTCTCCCCCTCCCTTCTGTCTCTCTAAAATTAATTAAAAAAACATTCTCAGGTAAGGATTAAAAAAAAAAAATCAAGCTGGATTACTCTTCTATAGCTGCTGCCCATTAACACGTTGAAATTAATCAACTATGAAAAAATAAATTATTTGGTAATCTAGTTAGACTTTACAGCTGATAGTTTGATGTATCTTTTCAGCCAGTGACTGCTTATTTTCTATATATATTCACTATTACATGCAAGTTGACTCTCATATCTTGTCTATTTTGTTTTTAAATGTTAGAAACATACTTCTTTCACATAGGTGGAAGATTTGGTCATTCAATCTGTTTAATTTCTCCACCTGTATTAGACTGTGAGAAAGGAAACAGAAGTTTTCCATACACTTGTTTCTTCAAGTCCCCAGAGCAGTACATGGTTAACCTTCAGTAAAGACTTTTTGAGTGAGTGAATGAATGAATGAATGCATGAATTCATGAATTCATGGATTCATTTCCTCATTGACTGATCACTGCCTTTACTGTTTCTAGAAGCTCTGAATGCTCTCAAGGATAGTTAAGAGTCAACAATTAACATGATAACAGTAACAATGAGGGGATTTTTTTTAAGATTTTATTTATTTATCTTCAGAGAGAACGGAAGGGAGGGAGAAATAGAGGGAGAGAAACATCAGTAGGTTGCCTCTTGCATCCCCTCAGCTGGGGCCCTGGCCCTCAATCCAGGCATGTGCCGGTACAGGGAATTGAACTGGTGACTTTCAGTTTGCAGGCCACTGCGCTCAGTCCACTGAACCACACCAGCCAGGGCTCTTGTGTTTTTTTAAATACTAAATCAAAGATTTTATGAATGAAATTACTAGATCAGTTAATAGGTTTCAGCCACCTGCATGTACTTTATGGATATATTGAAATCTCTCTCAGTAGTGGTAGTGACTGTCAGTAAGAATATTCAAATCCCATTTTTTTCCATTTTTATTTTGATAGTTTTAAGTATTTACAATAATGATGGGGAAAACAGTATTACTATTTCTGGTACTCATGATGTAGTTCATCTTTGGTAAGCTCATTTCTGTGTATAATCTGCTCTTGTTCAATAAGTCTGAACCTTGGTAGCCATCTCTTAAGTGTGACTCAGTCCTGAGACAACTAGCCAAACAGCTGGTTTTAGTATAGGAAAATAAACAAAAGTGACTTCCTTTTCACTGCATTTTTTATTTATATTTTTGAATTGTTATGGCACACCTGATGGAGATGATGGGCCTGAACCTGCTGTCAGAAATTGGCACAGGCTATACTTGTGAAGAAGAGATAAGGGAGTAGACCAAAAACAGTTGTTTGGAAAACCAACTCATGTAACTGTACCAGCTGACTCCCCTCTGGGTTTGCTGACGGGAGGCACCCGAGATAGAAGGCTAAAATCAGAGAAGCCAGGGGTCTTCTCTCTCCGCATGGGTTAGCTGTATGTCCTCCATGGCTCTAGTCCAAGCCCATTCCTGAGCATTGATGGTCTGGCTTCTAGGTTCTGGAAACTCTGATTTTCCCTCTTTGTCCTCCCAGCCTAGGGATAGTAGCAGCTTCCTGAAGTTGCTCATCTCTGAGTTGCTTTATCGTCTCTTCTTTGGGCATCTCAGCTCTTTCTTTACTGTAATCAGCTCCCTACATTCAGTTCTCCTTGTTTTAAATATAATATTTAAGTATGGTTTCTGTTTTTCTGGTTGGATCCTGATTGCTATACCTTATGACACCCATTACAATATATTTTTCAGACATAAAAACAATTTAGCAGGTCATTAGCACATTTTTTTAAATGAACTTTGGAATGTTTGCCCAAGTAGATACAGGCAGTATCTTGATTCTGCTGCTTACTTGTCTTTGCCTGATGAATAGAGAAAGGTGAAAAATTGAGGCTAGGTCTTGACTAAGAAGTATTAAATGATAGAAAAGAGGAAATACAAGACCATAAAGGTGGGGAAAGGTTGAGATATTGCTTACCCTTTAACTACCATCTCAGTGAGAATTGTTCTGATGTAAATCAAAGAAGCAGTTTATAAATAGCTTCCTTAATACAATGACATTGACAGTCCAGACTAGAGCGTTGCTGCCCAAAGGCTATTTAAGGGCTGTTGCACTGGACCAGCAGCATCAGTATCATGTGGGAGCTTGTTAAAGAGTCTACTGTGGCCCTACCCTGGTAGCTCAGTTGGTTGGAGCATCATCCTAGTATGCCAAGGTTGTAGGTTCAATCCCTGGTCAGGGCTCACAACAAGAATCAACCAATGAATGCATATGTAAATGGAACAATAAATTGATAAATAGCTCACTCTCCCCTCCCTTTTCCCTTCTTCTCTCTCTCTCTCAAAATTAATAAAAATTTAAGAAAAATAATCTACTGAATTGGATTCTGCATTTGAACAGCTTCTCCAGGTGATTTATGTGAATGTTACAGTTTGCGAAACATTAAAGCAATTGCTTTTACATATTGATTGCCCAGCTAGAAATATGTTTTATGGTGTTGACCTTGTACACACAAGTGAGTACATCTGCACAGACATCCAGGCCACTCAGTTCCTTTCCTTTCTCTCCTCCTGTGATCTTACTTCCAAAAGTATCTCAACTGTTTACTCTCATAGTCACACCCAGGACTTTGTCATTACCAATATCTACAATCACTCTGGAATTTCAGTTTCATGCACCTGGCTTTTTGACTATATTCTTTCCTTCCTTTCAACCAACACCCTCTAATTCCTAACACTAACAATTTATTGACCCCATCAGACCTATAATTTATTGATCCTACAATCTTTTCACTCCTGCCCGTCTCGCATTACTTCCCTCCTTACCCAGTTTTAATTCTAACCCCTGTAATTGTCATAATCATTCTTGCATACAGTCTCCCACCCTCTTGTGCTGCTTCATCATACTTTTGTGGCTAATCCATGGGTTAAATTAAACTATTTATACTTCTTGCCTGCATGGAGAAAAACACAGAGCCATGCTAACTACTGTCATATTAATTTAATTTCTTAGACACTGACTTCTAACTGCTGGGCAATTACACTTTGTTTCCAGTCCAATCATTCTCTACTTTTCTGTATAACTATACCTTCTTGTTCTTTAAGCATGCAGCATCTTTTCTATCTTCACTGTCAGATGATAACCTTGGTTACTATTTTACTCATAAAATGAGACAAGTAGAAGAGCATTTTCACAGGTTTCGGCCACCACATAGACCCACCTACCTACATTGTGCCCATTAACTCTTCCCTTCTCCTTGCTACTGTGGACAAACTCTTACGTTGCTAGCAAGGCCTGCTCAAGAACACTGCTTCAGCAAATTTTTCCTTCCAGCTGTCATTAATTTTTCCCTTTTCCGATGGTTATTTTTCTCTTCCCAGTTTTCAGTCCTTTCTCCTTTTAGCAAAAGTCCTCAGAAAAAATGGACCATATTTTCTATCTCAGATTCTTTTTCAGTTATTCTTGAACCCATTCCAGGTAGGCCTCTTTCCTCCATATACACATATTCAGCTGCTTATCCAGCATCTCCTCTCTTAGATATCTAATAGGCATCTCGAACTTAAGATGTCCCAAATAGCTCCTGATTTTTTTCCTCCCAGATCTTCATAGGTGTACATGTACATACATTCATACTTTTCCCCTTGCCTAGATTTATATTTGTTTTCCTTAACCTTTTTTTTTTTTTTTTTTTTTTTTGAGAGTACATTTATGAAAACTGGGGACAGTGAAACAAAAGAAGGGCTTAGGAGAGAAGAAGCAACAGGAGAGAGCCAAGGCAGGGCTGCTTGTCAGCTCACCGCAAAGTCAGAAAAAAGGGGGCCTTTGGAGGCAGGTTCAGGGGGCTAAGCCCCAGGCAAAGTTGCTGCTGCACGTTGCTCTCCTAGTTGCAAATCTTGTGAGGAATCTTAGAATTTAGGCGGTTCACTCCTGAGAGGGAAGAAAAGTGTGGGCACGTTCCAGAAAGAGCCCACCTCCCCTTAACGTTTTATACAAGTAAATACAAGTAAGTGAACCTTGCCACCAGTATA